AACAGCTTATGAAAATTGATCACTGTCTTGAAAATCTCCCAACTCTTGCCCCAAACATTTTGCTCCTGAGGGATTTCAGCTTGAGACAAAAAATGGAGGAGTGTAGCAAATAATATTTTAGCAGATCATCCCAGGAGGCAGCTCACACGAGCTATTAAATCTCTGCACCAGATTCACCTAAGCCAGCAAATAACTTTTTTTTTTTTTTAAACAACACACATCATACATGTATGCTATACTTAGGTTACATAAAGAAACGTGATCCATTAAATAATAAAAACAAACAACTTCACATTCCTTATCCCAGCACTAAACTTATACACAAGAAAAACACGTTCAACTGTAAATGCTTGATTCTCCCTCCAAAGTGCCCAACCAACACACACAACATACATGTAACTAAAAACAGCCCACACCTGTACATACAGGTGGGTTTATTATATCCATAAAATACAGCCAGTATCTTATAACACAAAGGCAATATAATCCAAAGAATGTCACACTTATTTACATTATATATGAAACTTTATAAACAAAGACATTCTCATATAATCCAAATTCGTTGCACACTCATTAATATTGTATATTAAACTTTATAAACAGACATAATACTAAACACCTCAAAAATTACAATATAATAAAGGTGACAAAATAGCCATTTCCACACCTTACCACAAACTAAACACACTATTAAAATAAAGATTCACACTCATGTTACATAGCACATTATTATAGTGTGTTAACAATACTTTGCGTGTTCCTTCTTGTAGTTGTCTCACTGACAAAGATCATTTACCTATTAAAACTATGATCACAATGACCTCTTGTCTTTCAACACATGGTTAAACTAAACATTCACACAAGAAAACTCAGTTACACCACATCTGACATGTCATCCCTCCCATACAACTCTCATGACAATCCTACCACATTTTACTATCCTTCATTATGGTCATAATTCGCTCTAGAAAAGGAAAATGGTCCCCTTAGTACTTAAGTAGCCAAATTACTGAGTCCCCTTACCGTTATATTTCTATATGCCTCCGGGAACGCAGTCGCCCACCTGTTACCATAAATGAGTTTTATTTCTGCATACCGTGCGATAAATTCCTGCCGCAATGCCCTTACCCTAATCCCCCCACCTTTTTCCTTCAAGCCCCAGGAATAAAACAAGAAATCTGTCACAATGTACAGAATGCTCTTTTACACCTCAGACATCCCCCTTACCTCTAAAGTTAGGCACGCAGAAGTTCTACATTGCCCCCCCATTAACTTGAAGACTCAGCCAGCCACACCCGTACCTGCCCCAACCCTACAAAAATATACGGCATGAAAAGCTGTTTCCGATTCCTCACAATGTTCGCATTTCGCCTCCTTTACCAAACCCATCACACACAAAGCCTGCTTTGACGCTAAATCCCCATTACAAACCTATAAACTAACTCCCTTACCCTAGCATTAATTTAAGTTTTTGGAAATCATGCCAAATCGTACCCCAATCATACAAAGGGTATACCGCCACCCCTTGCATCACTTCTGGTTTCCTACTTATCTCTACCAACCTTCCCACCTTGAGCTTTTTTACCTCACCTATTACTAACATAACCCTTAGCATATTCTCACATTCCATCAAGTCCTTTCCTCCCCACCATCGTCGTACATCCCTCATCACCCTCCCAACCCTCACCCCTTTTAAACCCCCCCCCTCCCTTACGTACTTTTGTTTAACATACATGGCCTTTACCCTCGGCCCTAGCATCAAAAGCCCTACTCCCCCTCTGCGCACATTCGTCATAACCACCTCTTTACTTAACCAGCTCGTCCAAAACCCCATATATAAACGAAGCACCCTTCTCTGTATCTTCTTTATCTCCTGTTCCCGTAAAGGATACACCACTGCCACGTTCCACACTTTACTATAAACCAATGAATTTATTATATATTGCCGTTTGCATTAGAGTAACATCCTTCGCTCTTAGGTTTCCTAATCCGTTGTACAACTTTCTCTCCCACCAATTCTGAATTCCTCCGTCTAGCCTCTTTGCTCATCTGCCATATAGATAATCCCACAAATTTTCAGCTGTTCAGTCACATCCCAATCCAAACTCCACCCCCATCTAACCCCCCACCCAATCCCTATCTCTAATAATTTCGATTTAGCCCTGTTGACACCATGCCTGACGCCCTCTCCAAAAAACCTCATTACTCTCTCCACCTTTCGCAAACCTTCGACATCATTGATCAGTATTGTTGTGTCATCTACATAACCAACTACCTCTGTGAACCCCGACCCCTCCTCCTGTAACGTGTTGCTTCCTCAACCATTCCATAAAACGGGTGTTGCATACATGCAAACAGAATTTGAGACATAGGACACCCTTGTCTCAAACCTTTCTCCATTTTCAACACGCTACCCAACCTACCATTAATTTGCACCTGAATCGTAGCTTCTGCATACAAGGTCTTCACCCATTTTACTATTCCCTCCCCAAAACCCATAAGCCTTAAGTGTCAACATGTACTCTCTATTCACACCGTCATAAAGCATTCTCCCCAATCAATGCCCAAAATTCCACCACCCTTACAACCCTGCAAAAATTCCCTAATACGACTATGTCCATCCCTCATACTACGACCCGGAATTCCCAACTGACCCTTGTGCACCATACCACCTATTACCTTCATCCTGTTCCCTAAAATCTTCGCAAAAATCTTATAATCCGTACACATTAAAGATATGGCCCTGTACGTGCTCAGTGTTCTCCCCTCGCTTTTTTTCTTTACAAGCACGACCACACCCGTCCTCTGACGTTCCCAATTTCCCTTCCTTCAGCATACAATTCAATATCTGAACCAAACAAACATTTATGGTTTCCCAATGCACTCTGTAAAAATCATTGGAAAGCTCATCAATTCCCGGTGCTTTCCCCTTACTTAAATTGAACACTGCCTCTTTCACTTCTTCCATACTTATTATTCCCTCCAATCCCCCTCTGTCCTCCCCACCTTTCCCCAAGACCTTCACCCCTCCTCTTTCTTTATTAACTATCCCCAAATTACCTTTTTTTCCCATTTCCTTTTAAACCAATAGTCCGCATAATTACTTATCCCCTCAGTTGTCACCAACATTTGCCCCTTAGTATAACCTTCCAAATCGTCACTAACTCTAAAAGTATTATAGTGGACTCCTGTTGTCTAATGCGAAAACTTCTTAACACACTACCCGACGGTTTATTCTCCCCATAGCACGGCATCCATACCTGCCCTTACCCTTAATTCATCACATCTTTCATTATGCATGTCCCTTAGTCTCCCTCTTAGCCCTGATATTTCTTCAAAAGACTTCCCCCTCATCTCTTGCGTAACACTCATTGAGCTGCTGTTCCAAATAATTCTGTAAACCGTACCTCCACCTCGCCTCCTCCCTTCCTTTATATTTATAAAACCCCGCGATACCAGGTTAGCCCTATTTTCCCACCAATCCAAAATACTCCCTACCCCATCCCTTGCCCTCCACAATTGTCTCCACCAGTCTCTAAACTCTGCGTTCACCACCTCACTCCTCACCAACCTCGCATTTAACTTCCAGAAACTTGAATATACCTTTACCACTCCCTCCCAATCCAGTTCTACCAAAACTGCCCTATGATTCGAAAACCCTACGTCCACTGTTTTTACCCCTCCTACCCTAACTGCCTCCGTTATATAAATCCTATCTAACCTCGCTGAATAATTTCTCCTAACAAAAGTGTAATCCACTCTCCAAGCCCCACTCCCCTCCACGTCCTCACCCCTGCATCCTGTAAAACATTGCGTAACGACCGTAATACACAACCCGCCCCCCTTGGCTCCACGTCATCCCCCCTTATAACAGTTCCAGTCCCCCCCCCAATTACAGTTACTAGAGGTAAACCCCTTAAAAAATACACTAAAACGTCTCTCACAAAATCCTCTTTTACTTTGATTATATTCTCTGCTGGCATATAAACCCCAATGAAACATACTCTAGATGCTCCCCACTCACCATCCACCCTCACTACCCTCCCCCCCCTTCTTCCCACTTTATAAACGTAAGGGACTATTTCCTTCACAGCCACTGCCACTCCCCCTTTTAACCTAACAGACCCACTTACATACAATTTATAACCCTTTAATGCCAAAGCACAGCCTATCTTATAATTATGTTCTGTATAAAGCATACATCCACATTATACTCCTCAAAAACCATTCCATCCATACTCGTTTCACTTCATTCTTCAATCCATTTACATTTACAGTTACTATCGTGAATTACTTTAAAGTGGTGTTTACCCCTTTCTTCTTGCACACACCCTCCTATACCGTCCTGCTGTATGGCATCTTCTTGACAGCTTGCTTATTCACCCCCCCCCCTATCCCTTCATTATCCCTAGAACCATTAAACCCTACATTACCCCTTCCCTCTTTCCCCTTATGACAACATCCTCTTCTCCAAGATTTTACTCCTGTTCTTTGTCCTGGAGTAAGAACATCGTCCATCCAGACGTCTCCGCAGTTCTCTTACGAGAACTCCCCTCCCCACACACCCTCGTCACCTGTCTTTTCTGCCCTATGGACCTCTGCCACAACGTTGTGCACATTAACATAGTGCACACAGTATTCCTAACCTCCTGATCTTGCTGCACAGTTGCCTGCACCAGGTTCACCCTTCATCCACCTGTCCCTCTTCAACGTCATGCAAAAAGGAACTAAGTACTTCCTCCAGCAAGCCATCCTGTTGGCCCGTACCCCCTCATCAGACGTCGATGTCGTCTGTCCCTTATCAACTGTTAGTGTTACACTTTCCTCCATAGTCCGCCTCAGCCCTGTCCACTTCGTCACATCCATCGGCAAGGAATCTTGTTTGGCCTTACTCCTTCCTCCGACACCTCCAGAGCATTCCTCTGATGTAAGATCACTGGTACCCGTTCCCTCCTCCAGCTTTTTAATAGCATTGGGCCGCCATATGTTCAAAAAACCACATAATCTGCAAGTCTTCCGCTGCCCTGAGTAGTACACGTAGACCTGCGTTCGGAAGACCTCCATAAATCGTATGAGAATTGGCTGCCTCAACGTCATTTTCAGCGTAAATGATCCTTCAGGTAGCCCCTCATAAGGTCCATTTTGCCACACCCCCATCACTGCTGAGTGGATTTCCCATAGCTGTTAACACCGCCGTCACATCATGCTCCGTCGCCTCAAAAGGCACGTTTCGTACCTTCACCCACGTCACATAGCTGGACACATGTAAGCAGACTTCCACCATAGTGTTCACTGCTAGCCTCTTCTCTTGATATTTGTTGACTATGCTTGTGTAGAATCCTGCGTCTTTAAACTTGATGAAAATTCTCGACACACCATTGACTGCTACTCCATATAATTCTTCGGTCGGTATTCCATATACCTCACTGATGATGGCATGCAGTAACACGTGCATGGTTGTTCCTGTAAGCGTGCCACGCACCAATTCCACACAAACAGTGCTCACCCGGCGTCCAATGCGATCCGCCATGTTGTATGCACAAAACAGGAAAACTGCGCAGTAAACCAGTTGTATCAGGAGCTACTGCGCAGCCTGTCCGCACGGCACAATAGCGATGCGAACAATCATTCCAGGAACAGCTTATGAAAATTGATCACTGTCTTGAAAATCTCCCAACTCCTGCCCCAAACATTTGCCCCCTGAGGGATTTCAGCTTGAGACACCAAAAATGGAGGAGTGTAGCAAATAATATTTTAGCAGATCATCCCAGGAGGCAGCTCACACGAGCTATTAAATCTCTGCACCAGATTCACCTAAGCCAGCAAATATTAGAGCCTACAAGACTAGAAAATACGCTGGACCTCATTTTCACTAACAATGATGATCTGATATGCAATATAACAGTAACAAAGACAATACACTCAGATCACAACATAACAGAAGTACAGATATGTATGCACAGGGTTCCTGACCAGAAAATGTGATCAGTTATGAGGGTGCCTTCACAAAATTCAACTTCAGTAACAATGGGAACAGGTAAACCATATCCTAATGAAACAAGCTGGGAGTGTGTGAGTTGGGAAGCTGAGACGATGGACATTGAAGGAGGGACAGTGTTATGACCCATTGTCACTGAAGTCCCACATGTCTCCGAGGTACATATATTTAAGTAAGTATAATTATTTTAGATGTGCCAGAGTTCTCCCCAGTTATGTGGGTGAAAGATTTACTCAAGATTGCTCTTTCAAAATTCACCCATATAATCTCACACAGAATAACTAGACTAGAATTATATCTAACAAACTAACAAAACCAGTAACAGACTAAATGCTAGAGGGGATCAATAAGTTGACCTAGTATTCTATGGAGATATGTTTTAATAGATGTCGCGTATTGTATTAATACTGATCAAAAGGCGGCCACAGTAGCCCCCACTATAAGTGAATAAGATATTTAACATGTGTGGCATCCCGGAGAGGATTCACGCTGATAAAGGTGCCCAGTTACAGATGCATTCTGTAACTGGGCGCCTTAAAGTCCCCCATGTGCAGTATACAAGGGAACTTTTTTAAACCTGCACGACCCCCCATCATCCCACCGGAAACAGTGTGAGAGTTTCCACATTACATTACATCACTTTCTATAAACCCTACCAGACACTTATGCAACATATGGGAATCTTTATTGAGGAAACATGTCGCCACACAGTGGCTTCATCAGTCCAATACAACATTTGTCCAGCCTTTGGACGAGGACCTACTTACACTAGTGGATGGTTCCACTATGACCCCGCCTCCTCCTGCTCCGCCTCACCTGACTACAGCATATAAGCCACGTCTACGGCCCTATGCTGTACATTCTACCAGATTGATGGACTGAACACATCGACTCCAGGCTGAGGGACTGGTTACCTCAAACTCCTCTTCTCCTTACACCTTTCTGCTTTGTATTGGACTGATGAAGCCACTGTGTGGCGAAACGTTTCCTCAATAAAGATTCCCATATGTTGCATCAGTGTCTCAATCTTCAACTTGTCGGTTTTTCAAACCATTCATCACATATAAACCCTACCAGCCAAGCATTAGCGACAGCGGGCGAAACATATAGGGCCAATTTTTCGTATAAGACCTCGAGCCCCATCACTTGGTTCTCCCCCACTACCTTATTAATGGCAAAGAACAGTGATTGACTCAGGATCTATTACTAGGTGGAGCAGATGGGGAAGAGAACACTTGTGACGACTAACCCTCACTGCTCACCAGTGTTGTGTTACCATCACTGACTACATGTTTACACCTTCACTGCTCACCAGTGTTGTGTTACTGTCAAGCTCAACAAGATCGTCTTACTTATAAGAATATAATATACAAGTGTGACAAGTACGTCTGTTTACTGAATGGCAACTGCCCGCCTTCTAAATGCCAGGAGGTGCTGAGCAGAATTTTATGGTTATGAAAAACTCGGCGACCTATTGAATGTTGGGTACAAACCCCCCAAAAAATTATAAACAAAAACTCAGGGAATTCAGCACGGTCCGAGAGGCTCCAGACTGCTCCATAATGCACACTTCGCAGTTCATAATAACATTTCAGGTAACGAAGTAGCGTTGTTACTATCTCCTCACATTCTTCTTGTCACGAAATGAAATTTCACAGTAGCGTGAAGAGTAAAAGTCTGATGGCAGCCAGAGGCTGACTGCAAAATCTTTTGTGTACTGGGAGTCGGGACGAGCGCTAGAATCGTATCTCATCTTCTGGTTACTCACCTTCCGTGAACGTTTTTCTAGTTTTTGATCCCGCTATATAAAGTAACGAAGCAACATACGGTTGATGTACCGAATTCTGTTAATGATAATTAAAAAAAAAAAGTTTTTACCTGCTGCCCTTGCGACAGCATCTCCTGTAGTCCCTCGGCAGTCTGCTTGTTGTGGGTCGTATCCTCAGGAATTTTTTAAATGCCTAAGGAATTTCAGTCTTGCTTTAAGTATCCTGGGCAATACTGCTAATGCTTGATAAAGTTTCAAACCTCCTGGTAATATTCTAGTACTAGGGTACGATTTATCAACTCAAGTCAGTGTTTGTGTGATCTATAATTTAAAAAAAAATATAGAGATCTGGAGAGTGTTAATGCCTGACTAGTGACGATACTAACTCGTTTCGCTAACCTTGACTCACTTTATACAGATAAGTTTTCTCACCTCTCCAGCCACAAATAGGTGACACACACACACATACACACACACACACACACACACACCTAGTAGCGATCAGTGAAGAGGCGGGGCCAGGAGCTCGGACTCGACCCCCGCAACCTCAACTAGGTGAGTACACACACACACACACCCGTACCCCTCACACACAAATACACAAAAGGCCGTGTCCATCGCCAAGTGCCTTTGACAACTAGTAACTACCAAACACACACAAACTACATTATATGGCTGGAGATGTACAGTTAACATTAGGCTCTGGTTCAGTCTGTATCCTTCAAACCTACACACCCACCTTGACCTGGAAAGACGACCTGACGGACGGGTCGTGGGTGCTGGACCTCCTCCAGGATGGTTGTGTGGTTGTGAACGCCGGTGATCCCCACCAGCACTACCACAGTTAACAACCACTTCATTTTCTGTCACTGCTCCTTACAATGTGGCTTCCAGCTGGGTAAGAACAAAGTTAAGTCCGTTAATATAGTATACGAGGTGATCTTGATTTGGCTTGCAGTCGTACAATAACAATAACATCAATAATAATAATTATTAGTATTAATATTAGTATAACAATAATGCCAATAATAATAATCGTGTTTATAATAATTATATTAATAACAACAATTATTTTATTAGTAGTAAAAATGATAGTTATTTTACGTAATCCTACTTGAGTATTACGTCCCCTAGAACAATTACTCTCTCACTTGGTTCAAAAGTTCCTAAACACTCGCTTAACATCTCCCAAAATCTCTCTCTCTGTGTCCTCTACACTCCTCTCTTCTCCAGGTGCAAACACACTTATTATGACCCACTCTTTGCATCCCACCTTTATTTTACTCCACATAATCCTTGAATTTATACATTTATATTCCCTCTTCTCTGTCTATAACTGATCCCTCAGCAATATTGCAGTGGTATGGTTTGTTTGCAATCGTGTTATTACGATTTCGTGAGTTATTATTGCTACACCTTCCCTAGCTCTAGCTCTCCCAGATACTCCTGGCTTAATCCCATTTATTTCTCCCCTTCAGCTTTGTTTCGCTTAGAGCTAGGACATCCAACTTCTTTCCATTCATAATAAAGGAATCATTTTTATCTTGGCATCTGCACTACATCCACTCACATTCAAACATCCATATATGTAAGGTGAGTGTGTGTGTGTGTGTGTGTGTGTGTGTGTGTGTGTGTGTGTGTGTGTGTGTGTGTGTGTGTGTTCAGGAAGTAATAAACAATGAATAAAGAGAAGACGAGGCCCCGGTGGCCGGGTGGCTTAAGCTTTCGCTTCACACACGGAGCGCCCGGGTTCGATTCCCCGCGGGTGGAAATATTTCGGCGTGTTTCCTTACACCTATTGTCCTGTTCACCTAGTAGCAAATATGTACCTGGGTGTTAGTCGACTGGTGTGGGTCGTATCCTGGGGGACAAGATTTGAGGACCCCAATGGAAATAAGACAGACAGTCCTTGATGACGCACTGACTTTCTTGGGTTATCCTGGGTGGCTAACCCTCCGGGGTTAAAAATCTTATCTTATCTCCTATCTTAACCATAGTCTTGGCATACAATGCGATCCAATGTTACGACTTCCTTTGTGTTTAGTCTGCATCAGTGTGTCACACACTGCGTGCGTCACCAGTTAGTATAAAACTTAAAAAATATATCAAACTCTTTCTTTCACTTTTATAAAAAAATAAATTGATTATTGTTTGTAAAGGTAATCTGATGTTTTAGATTTTAAGATATTGTGTTAATTTCCCTTCACAACTGATTAAAGCTGAGCTAGATTACGAATACATTAATTACCAAAAACAAACAAAATTTTTAACAAAGAATAAATATTACACACAAAACCGGCACAGAGAAGCAGGCAGAGAGAGGGAGACCACCAGGCCACGGGGCCTGGTGGCCACGGGGCCTGGTGGCCACGTGGCCTGGTGGCCACGTGGCCTGGTGGCCACGGGACCTGGTGGCCACGGGGCCTGGTGGCCACGGGGCCTGGTGGCCACGGGGCCTGGTGGCCACGTGGCCTGGTGGCCACGGGGCCTGGTGGCCACGGGGCCTGGTGGCCACGGGGCCTGGTGGCCACGGGCCTGGTGGCCACGGGCCTGGTGGCCACGTGGCCTGGTGGCCACGTGGCCTGGTGGCCACGGGCCTGGTGGCCACGGGGCCTGGTGGCCACGGGCCTGGTGGCCACGTGGCCTGTGTGGCCACGTGGACCTGGTGGCCACGTGGCCTGGTGGCCACGTGGCCTGGTGGCCACGGGACCTGGTGGCCACGTGGCCTGGTGGCCACGGGACCTGGTGGCCACGTGGCCTGGTGGCCACGGGACCTGGTGGCCACGTGGCCTGGTGGCCACGGGACCTGGTGATCACGGGGCCTGGTGGCCACGTGGCCTGGTGGCCACGGGGCCTGATCACGGGGCCTGGTGGCCACGGGACCTGGTGATCACGGGGCCTGGTGGCCACGGGGCCTGGTGGCCACGTGGCCTGGTGGTCACGGGGCCTGGTGGTCACGGGGCCTGGTGGCCACGGGGCCCGGTCACGGGGCCTGGTGGCCACGGGACCTGGTGGTCACGGGGTCTGGTGGCCACGGGGCCTGGTGGTCACGGGGCCCGGTCACGGGGCCTGGTGGCTACGGGGCCTGGTGGCCACGGGGCCTGGCGGTCACGGGGCCTGGTGGCCATGGGGCCTGGTGGCAAAAGCTCTCGCTTCACGCAGCTGAATTGCTGCTGGAACACTTATGTGTGAACTGTGACTAGTGATATACCTAGTGAAACACAAACATGTTGATTTGAAGTGGCTGCAGGAGGCTACACCTTCACTCCACCTCGCCTCTCTCCCCTCCTTCCTCGATTTGGAACTCAGCCATTCGCCTCTATTTACTTATGGTCTAGAGGCGGTTTTTGCCAGACCGCACAAATGCTTGAGTGCCCGTGTCAGTCCTCCGTGCCGCACTCCATTCATCTTACGAATATGTCTCCTGTGTGCCTACCTGCCTGCTACAAGCAAATATCCAAGTGATTGACACGGCTTAGCAAGCACATCAAGCAGGCTTGAAAGCAGCATTCCAAGGCCCAGCATGTCTACGTATACGTTCTACAGTGCTGCTGGCATACCAGTGTTTCCTGCAGTGGCTTAGTTAAGAACAATTTAACGAGCATTACAGTACTAACTTTTTAAGTGGGACATGCCAGAGGTTCACCTATAAACATAGTAAGTTTGTGGTGTTAAGTGCTGCAGATTTGTTGTAACTATTTGCACGAGTGGATTTCACTGACTTAGGACATTGTGCTACCATCAGTACCTACGTAGGCTTAAAATGAGTGAGGAATGTCTGGCCTGCTGGGTGACCTTGAAAATGGCACTATAAGACCCGCATGCCACTTACACCCATACTGCGTGTGTCTAGTGAGGTGAATGTCCCTTCCTCGACTTTCCTATTCACCGGTATCCCTTAACTCGTCGCCATTATCTACATATGGGATAAGGGCGAGTTTAGCTGATCCAGGCTAAACAGCGCTCCAAGCCAGCCAGTGAAGGCCAAGTTACAGAATGCCTTTGTGAACGTTCTACAGTGTTCCGGCCGTACCTTCGGTGTTGTGAGAACTAGTTCTTATGTTTACCTGGAGTTTACCTGGAGAGAGTTCCGGGGGTCAACGCCCCCGCGGCCCGGTCTGTGACCAGGCCTCCTGGTGGATCAGCGCCTGATCAACCAGGCTGTTGCTGCTGGCTGCACGCAAACCAACGTACGAGCCACAGCCCGGCTGATCCGGAACTGACTTTAGGTGCTTGTCCAGTGCCAGCTTGAAGACTGCCAGGGGTCTGTTGGTAATCCCCCTTATGTGTGCTGGGAGGCAGTTGAACAGTCTCGGGCCCCTGACACTTATTGTATGGTCTCTTAACGTGCTAGTGACACCCCTGCTTTTCATTGGGGGATGGTGCATCGTCTGCCAAGTCTTTTTGCTTTCGTAGTGAGTGATTTTCGTGTGCAAGTTCGGTACTAGTCCCTCTAGGATTTTCCAGGTGTATATAATCATGTATCTCTCCCTCCTGCGTTCCAGGGAATACAGGTTTAGAAACCTCAAGCGCTCCCAGTAATTGAGGTGTTTTATCTCCGTTATGCGCGCCCGTGAAAGTTCTCTGTACATTTATCTAGGTCGGCAATTTCACCTGCCTTGAAAGGTGCTGTTTAGAGTGCAGCAATATTCCAGCCTAGATAGAACAAGTGACCTGAAGAGTGTCATCATGGCTTGGCCCCCCCTAGTTTTTGAAGGTTTCTTTCCCTTTCCT